TAACTTTGTCAAAATAAAATTCAGAGACAAATGTGAACACCGGGAAACTTTTTTAAAAAAATCCAAGTTCAGTTGACATATATATTAGTTTCAGGTGTACAACATGGTGATTCGACAGTTATATATATTATGAAATGCTCATCATGATAAAGTATAGTTACCATACCAAGTGATTATATTATCGACTATATTCTCTATGCAGTATTTTTCATCCCTGTGGCTTCTTTTGTAACTGCAGGTTTGTACCTCTTCATCCTCTTTACCTATTTTGTGTTTTAGGAAAACATTTTCACTAGCAGTTCAGAAGTAGTGGCTCATCCCATAGAAGAGGAGGCTTTTATAGCTCTGATGATATGGCAGATATTTATAGCTCAGATATGGCAGCTGACAGTTCAGATTGGATAAGAACAAGATGTTCCTGTCTTTTTGTAAGGAAAACAGGATGTTCTTATTTTTGTGGCTTATCTCAAGAGGCAAAGCTTTCAGGATTTCCTGTTAGTCAATGCTTTTAGGAGTTTCCTGTTATTCATGGTTTATCTTGGAATGCAAGGTTATTAGGAATAAAAGTCTTTTCTGGTGCACGGTAAGTGATTTGTGGACAGTGCCAGGCTAAGGGCAAGATGTCATGTTCCCATTCTCCCCTCTTTGCTTGCTGTGCCCTCTTTATTGTAGTTTCCTCTAGCTCGGAACCTCCTCCATTTCCTATCCTAGCTACCATATAAAAAAAACTTATAGTTTGTTTCTCTGGGCAGGTTATATAAGAATAATAAGCAACATTACTTACCTTAAATCATGCTATTTATTCCTAGTGTGTTTGTGTATGTGTAGAAAAATACATAATAAAGGTCTACAGGTAAAATGATGAAGTATATCTTATGCAATATATGTATACGTATGTATATATATACACACACACATAATTGACCCTTGGACAAAATGGGTTTGAACTGCACAGGTCTACTTATATAGATTTTTTTTTTTAGTACATTACTGCAAATGTATTTCCTCTTATGATTTTCTTTCTTTCTTTTTTAAAGATTTTATTTATTTATTTGGCAGAGAGAGAGAGACAGCGAGAGAGGGAACACAAGCATGGGGAGTGGAAGAGGGAGAAGCAGACTTCCCGCCGAGCAGGGAGCCCGATGCAGGGCTCGATCCCAGGACCCTGGGATCATGACCTGAGCTGAAGGCAGTCGCTTAACCAACTGAGCCACCCAGGCACCCCATCTCTTATGATTTTCTTAATATTTTTTTCTCTCTAGCTTACTTTATTGTAAGAAAATAGTATAAAATATATATAACATACAAAATATATGTTGACTTTATGTTTTGGTAAGGCTTCCTTAACAGTAGACTATTAATAATTAAGTTTTGGAGGAGTCAAAAGTTATATGTGGATTTTCGACTGGGTAGGGGTTTGGGGCCCCTAGGTCAACTATGTGTGTGTGTGTGTGTGTGTGTAATGAATCTTGGGTCATTTATTAAGAATGTGTGTGCATACAAGTAGATAGCAATAAATTGTTGTTCAAATCATCTTTACATGTCATGTCTCAAAATAAAAGAACAGGCTATGAGTTAGGTTCTTCACTTTTAAACCATACTGCTTATATTTAGATTCAAAATAGCCATTTCTCTTCTTCTTCTTTTTTTTTTTAAGATTTATTTATTTGAGAGAGAGAGAGTAAGAGCACGTGTGAGTGAGCAGGGGCTTGGGGGGCAGAGGGAGAGAGAGAGAGAATCCCAAGCAGACTCTCTGCTAAGCATGGAGCCTGACACGGGCCTTGATCCCAGGACCCCAAGATCATGACCTGAGCCGAAATCAAGAGTCAGATGCTTAACCAACTGACCACCCAGGCACCCCAGCAATTGCTCTTCTAATATTAATTTTCAGCTCAGTATAACCTATACATTATCATCTACTACTGACCCCAAATCATTTCATTTGGGTATTGTTAGTGTCCAGACTAGGTGCAAGATGGAACCACTTATGCTAAGCCCACATCAGCAAACTGGAATTTAAGTTTCTATGCTTGGCTGTTCCAGAAAAAGCAGGCCTTGGCCAACCAATCAGTGCTTGCCTGCCCAGCACGAGTCATCTGACCTGGCTCTAAGACTCTCCTTTGCTCCATATAGGGGAAGTAATCCTGCTTTGACTGATCAGCAAATGCCGAGTATAACTTCCTTGTTCCTTCTCATTTTGGTCTGTAAACATTTCTTGCCTTGTATGGCTCTTTAGAGCTCTTTTCTATCTGCTAGACGAGATGTTGCCCCATTTATGAATTGCTGAATAAAACCTACTAGATCAGTAAATTGTGGAAAATTTTCTGTTAACTATCAAGGATAATTGTGAACACTTTCGAAGTGGTTAGAATAATACCTTGCACACAGTGAGTATTTTACAACTTCTAACTCATTTCACTGTTAAAGAAACCCTCACTGATAGATATTTTTACTATTATCATACCCATTTTCCAGACAAGGAAACTGAGGCCCAAAGATATTAAGAAACATGCCCAAGTTCATGTGGCTAGTCAGTGGTAGAGCTGGGATTTGAAGGCAAACAGTTAGGCTGCAGAGCTGGGTTCTTAAACAATACTATATGGTTGCCCCTACAACGTTTAAAATAAAAACTCTTGATGGTTCCTGATAATCATAAAATACAGTTACCAGAGATTTAAAAACTAAAGGATATCTTAGCTATGATTTATTCCAACATCTTAATTTTGCAGTTTAGGCAACTGTGTTTCAGAAAAGTTCACTGATTTCTCAAGATTTCTGAGCAAAGATGGGACTAGAATATATTTACCAATCCCATGTCCGGTACATTTTCTAAACCTAATCTTTAGGTTATAACTCTGTAGGAGCTGAAAACAAACAGAATAAAGAGAAGCCAAATGAGTGACTATTATCCTACTATGTGTGGGTTATTTCCAAGTGGGAATGTCCTTAATTCATTTCAATGTGAAAATGACACGTTCTTTTTATATCTCATATCATGTCTTACTCCAAATTGGAAAAAACAGTGCCCATGCTCATGAATTCTTATGCATTGTTAAAATTTTCCATTGATTAAACCCTTGATTTAATTTGAGGCATAAAATGTATGACTCAGGATTGTTGCAGGAAATAGCTGGGCAAGTTCAAACAGGTTAGGCAAGGAGATATTAATAGAGGCTGTTTATAAAGGTGTGAGCAGAATTAAAGGAAAGCAGGGGTAAGGGTGGTTTAATACCCTTAGACTAGCAAAAACAGGAAGCCCTTACCTCTCCTAGTCCTGAAAGCCGGGAAGGGAACAGTTACCAAAACCAGGAGAAAGTGGCCATAGGTGAGGCCACCTAGATAAGGAGCTATAGCTTTTGGGTCAATAAAGGAACATAGTCCACCTGTGGCAACCCAGCTGGGAGGGATCCTGGAAGAATAAATATTCTAAACCCATTCTCCATCCCTTTTTGATCTGGTGCCTCTGCTTAGAGTTTCAACCTACCCAGAAGTTAGAGGTCAAGAAATCCCAGTTTGTGCTGTCCATAAAAGTCACCCTCTTAAAGCCCAAAGTAGAGAAGGATAGAGTGGAAAATAACCGATTCATAAGCCACCGGTTTTTAGATAAAATAATTAAATATCATGAACATTTTGAAAATTAATGAGTAATAGCTCGGCGGGACGCCTGGGTGGCTCAGTCGTTAAGTGTCTGCCTTCGGCTCAGGTCATGATCTCAGGGTCCTGGGATGGAGCCCCGCATCGGGCTCCCTGCTCTGCGGGAGGCCTGCTTCTCCCTCTCCCACTCCCCCTGCTTATGTTCCCTCTTTTGCTGTCTCTCTGTCAAATAAATAAATAAAATCTTAAAAAAAAAAAGAGTAATAGCTCAGTCTGAGCCAAAGTAGTAATTATTATAGTTTTATAACTGAGAGGGATGGCAACTGTGGTCTTTCATCAAGATTCTGAGAGCCTGAGCAATGACAGCTTAAGCCCTGTCTTTTTCTAGTTAGCTACATTGGTTATTTTTATTTTTATAAAGTTATGCAATTCCTAACACATTTATTGGTCATTTGCTGTGGAATCAAATGCTTGGCATTTCTGTTGGATAGACTTTAAAAGTCCATTAATAACAGTTATTCAAATAAGTATTTAATGCCTATTACGTGCCAGGCAGGATATATCAGTAAATAAACATGTCCTCTTGGAGTTTACATTTTAGTGTAGGAGCGAGAAAACAAGCATACGAACAAAAAAATATGTGGAGATAAGGACTATAAGAACAAGATAGGATGGCGGACAAAGGGGTACTAAGGAGAAAGGGAGAAGGAGGGGGAGAGACGGAGAGGGATTAGTTTTGCTCTGGTGGTCAAGGAAGACATCTTTAAGGCTGTAGCATTTTTGCCGAGACTTGTTAAAAGACAAACTAAATTTTAAGTTTATTCAAGCAAAAATTGATTGGAATTAGGTGCTGCCAAACCAAATGTAGCTATGAGCGCTAAGCCAACAGAATTCAGAGGAAAGACTTATATACACAAAGTGCAGAAGCAGAGAAAGGAAAGTATTTGATTGGCTATATATTGAAATCTAGTTGGCTTTTTGTGATTGGTTATCCTTAGCATTTTTTTTTTTTTTAAAGATTTTATTTATTTATTTATTTGACAGAGAGAGACACAGGGAGAGAGGGAACACAAGTAGGGGGAGTGGGAGAGGGAGAAGCAGGCTTCCTGCCGAGCAGGGAGCCCGTTGCGGGGCTCGATCCCAGGACCCTGGGACCATGACCTGAGCCGAAGGCAGATGCCTAACGACTGAGCCACCCAGACGTCTCTATCCTTAGCGTTTTGATATTGGAACCTTGAGCCATTTATAGGCTTAGATTTTGGTTTGTACATGTTGACCGCAATGGCATCAGAGCTACCTCAATCTAATGACCTCCTTGTTGAATTAATTTAACAGACTTGAAGCATAAAAGGAGCTAACCACGCAGAGGTCTGGAGATGGAAGAGAAAGGCTCTGATGCAGAAAATGTGCTTGCTAAAGTTGGAAGGACGGAAGGAGCAGATGGAAGGAGCCCCCAGGGAAAGAGAACTGTGGTGGTAGTAAGCAGCACGTGCATTCATAGGACCTTCATGCCTGGGACTCTGAAGATTTTAATCCTGGGTTGCCGTCATGGTGGTGATGAGTCTCAGAACCTGAGACTCTTAAATCTCAAAACCATGGAGCCTGCATGTGGCTAAGAGCTTGGGCTCTACCCTCAGAGTCTGAACTCTTATTTTTGCCTAAGGTGAGTGTAATATTGTGATTTATAATAATAATAAAATATAAAAATATATATTTGATATATATTTGTGATTTATAATAATAAAATACATATATACATGTATTATATATATAAAATATGTTTGTGATTTATAATAATAAATGTGGTCCGCATCTTGTTCTGGTACAGAGCTCTTAAAACTCTTGGAATTTCCTAAGAGCAATGGGAGCAGCTTTTGTTTGTTACAGTATTTGGTCTTTTCTCCTTGGTTCCTGAAATAGCTCCAGAGCCTTAAAGGTGAAAGGAATATGTCATGTTATTCATAACAAGCCCCTTTCAACCACACCTGAATTTATGTTAATGCAGTAACTTTTGGAAAGCCCATAAGGATGGGCGCTAGTTGCCAGGGGAACTAACCTGATTAGAAGGTTGGAACTTTCAGTGCCACCCTCCATCTCTGGGGACGGGAGAGGGGCTGGAGGTTAAATCAATCACCGGTGGCCAGTGATTTAGCCAATCATGCCTGCATATGAAACCTTCATAAAAACTCAAAAGAACAGGTTTAGAGAGCTGGATTGGTGAACACATGGAGATTTGGGGAGGGTGGTACACCCAGAGAGAACATGGAAACTCCATGCTCCTTCTCCCAAAACTTACCCTATGCATTTCTAACATCTGGCTGTTCTGAGTTATATTCTTTTATGATAAATTGGAATCTAGTAAGTAAAATGTTTTCCTGAGTTCTGTGAGCTGCTCTACCAAAGTAATTGAACCCAAGAGGGAGTTCATGGGAATTTCCATTTTAGAGCCAGTAGGTCAGAAGCATAGGTGACGACCTGGACTTGTGATTGGCATCAGATGTGAGTGTGGGAGGGGATTTGTGAGCCTTTAACCTGTGGGATCTGGTGCTATCTCCAGGTAGATCATGTCAGAACTGAGTTAAATTGTAGGACACCCAGCTGGTGCTGCAGAATTGCCTGATGTGTAGATAACCCAGACATCTGGTGTCAGAAATGAAGTAGTGTACAGATGGTCCCCAACTTAAAATTGTTCAATTTATGATTTTTCAACATTATGGTGGTGTGAAAGCAATATGCATTCAGTAGAAACCGTACCTCAAGTTTTGAATTTTGTTCTTTTTCCAGGCCAGCAGTATGTGACACCATCTCATTTGTGATGCTGGGCAGTGGCGATGGGCCACAGCTCCCAGTCAGCCACGATTATGAAGGTAAATAACTGATACACTTACAACCAGCCATTCTGTTTTCACTTTCAGCACAGTATTCAATAAATTACATAGATATTCAACACTTTATTATAGAATAGGCTTTGTGTTAGATGATTTTGCCCAACTATAGGCTAACGTAAGGGTTCTGGGCATGTTTAAGGCAGGCTCGGCCAAGCTATGATGTTCGGTAAGTTAGGCGTATTAAATGCATCTTCGACTCATGACATTTTCAACTCACCATAGTTTTGTCAGGATGTAACCCCATAATAAGTTGAGGAAGTTATATAGCAGTGGAATATTGAGAGTAGAGGAGAAACACATGGAAGTGAGCTTTCCTTGGACTGAGTCACTTAACTCTTTGGTAATTCAATTTCTTCACTTGTAAAATAAGGATAGTAATACAGTATTTTATGCAAAATCCATGAGGACATTGTGTCTGAGAATTTCTAAATTTCAGGATCTTAGAATACTATTATGATGTGAATACCAGATAACATGAGACACTGCCATGGGGCTCTAGGGCAAATCAAACATTAATATTTCTGCATTGAAAGGTATTATGGTGGACAGACTCTTAAAGTGGTCCCACAATTCCCACTTCCTGGTGTTCACTCCCTTATGTGATCCTTTCCCTTCAAGTATGGGCAAAACTTGTGCTTGCTTCTAACTGAAAATTTGGTAAAGATAATAGGATGTCTGTGATTATATACACATGATTATGTGATTATATCACATACGATTGTAGTATCCATCTTGCTGGAGTCTGTCTTTCTTCCTCCTACCCTTCATTCTTGCTGGCTTTGAGGAAGAAAATGACCATGGTAGGGGATGCCACACAGCAATGAATATGGATGGGCAGCCTCTAAGACCTGAGGGCAGCTTCTGGCTGACGGGCCGCAAACAAAACAAAACATACACACACAAAAACAAAAACCGAACTGAAGCCCTCAGTCCTATCACCTCAGGGAAATGAATTCTGCCAATAACATGAGTGAGCTTGGAAGTGGATCTTTCCCCATTGAACCCAGGGGAGAATGCAGCCCCAGCTAACACCTTGATTGAAGCCTTGTGAGACCCGAAGCAGAGGAACTGTTTTGGACTTAGAGATAGGGATGCCTGGGTGGCTCAGATGCCTTCGGCTCAGGTCATAATCCCAGGGTCCTGGGATCGAGTCCCGCATTTTGGGCTCCTTGCTCAGCCGGGAGCCTGCTTCTCCCTCTCCTGCTCTTCCTCCTGCTTGTGTGCTTGCTCTTTCTCTCTCTTTCTGACAAATAAAAAAATAAAATCTTAAAAAAAAAAGAAACTTAGTACTGTCTGTTGGTTTAAGTCACTAAGTTTGTAGTAATATTGTTGCACAGCAATAGTAAACTAATAAATGTATGGATATTCATACCTTTTTTCCTGATTTTTAAAATTTATAAATAAAAAACATTATAAATAATCTAAGACTGATGAATCATAGACCTGTACCTCTGAAACAAATAATACATTACATGTTAAAAAAGAAAAAGACAGTAGGAAGGGAAAAATGAAGGGGGGAAAATTGGGGGGGAGACGAACCATGAGAGACTATGGACTCTGAGAAACAAACGGAGGGTTCTAGAGGGGAGGGGGTGGGGGGATGGGTTAGCCTGGTGATGGATATTAAAGAGGGCATGTATTGAATGGAGCACTGGGTGTTATATGCAGACAATGAATCATGGAACACTACATCAAAAACTAATGAAACATGGTGACTAACATAATAAAATAAAATAAAATAAAACATTATAAGTAATCTAAAGAACCTCACATCTGTTCAAGACAAATTTTGCCACCAGAAACATCTGGGCAGCAAATACAGGAAAAGTCTGTTGGTTTTCAGTCTTTTGGGCTTCCAAATTAAGATAAGGAAGTGTAGACTTGTATCATATAACCTTATAAGGTTGTTGGGGGATGGAAAAAAATACTACGTGTTAAGGGGTTTGGAATAGGATTTAGCACATAGGAAGTACTCCATAAATATTGGCCATAATTATGATTAGAATCAGAGCTCCTGGGGCAGGTCAGCCTCTCTGCTGCTATTCTTTGCAAGTTACTTCTCAGTTTCCCTATCTCTAACAGGAGGGCCTCTGAGAGGACCTCAGAGTTGGGGGAATAACTCCTGTTTATTGAGTCCCTATTATGAGGAGGCTTGGGCTGGGTGCTCAGTGAGCTGTAATGTGAATTGCTTCTGAGTGAAAAGGCATATGGTCTGCTTGTGGCCTTACTGCTGAAGAGGTGCACAATCCTAGGGAAAAGGCTTCTTGCTGAGTCTTAATTTCTTGATCTGTCAAATGGGGCTGGCTGATCCCTCCCACCTGAATATGTGCGAGGAGAGGTATGACAAGTGTACTCATTTTAGACTGAAGGATATTTTGTTTTTAATATCATTTGAGGGGAAGAACATATGCAAGGATCTGCCTGACCTTTCCTTATATACACAAAGAAAATGCTCCCAACCCTAATACTAAACCCCACCTCCACCCCTGCACAGAAAACAGAGTGGCTCCCTGTCTTTTGCCTGGTATTCTGTGCAGTTGGAGTGAGGACTGCAGGTTTCCACCTGCCCCACCACCATACCCACCCTCTGCATCTCTTATTTCTTATGCAATAATGACCTGTGTCATTCGTCATTACCCAGCTCCCCCACTAGACTATAGGTTCATGAGGGCAGCCCACTGCCCTGCATGCACCTCAGTAAACATGGAATCAACGAAAACAGGAAGAGGAGTAAAAAGATTACTAGGTAAACAGGAGGGTGAGACACTTCAACCAGGACACTTACTGATGAAAGCCCCAGGGATGATCAGAGTAGTCAAATTTGGATATATTTTGAAGGTTGAACCAATAGACTTGCTGAAGGATTAGAAGTGAGGGAAAGAGAGAAATCAAGGCATTGTTCATTCATTCATGTTTAATAATTATTGGCTATTGACTAGATACTAGGTACTATTTAAGATGCTTTAGGTACAGTAGCAAATAAGGGCCCTGATGTTCTTATGTTCTAATTGATGGAGACAAGTAATAAACCAGATATTACACAGAATGTTAAGTACTAAGAAGAAAATAAAAGAGGGCAATGTAACAGATTATTAGGTAGGATATATTTGGCTGAAAACCCAACTCAAAATGGCTTTAGCATTAAGATTTTTATCTCATTGGAAAAGTCAGAGTTGGATTGTTCAACGGTTGGTTACTCGGTGACTCAATGACATAATGACTCCAGCTTAGCATTTCTGTGATTCTCAAGTTTTCTTCTCATGCTTGTAAGATGACCCTACAGTTCTAAGCAATATATCCTCCCACTAAGGTATAGGCAGAGAAAATCTGTTTTTTTCTCACATCTCTCTCTTTTTTGAAATCTAAATTCAGTTAGCCAATATATGGCAGATTTAGTGTTCAATAATTTATCAGTGTGTATAACACCCAGTGCTCATCATATCACGTGCCTTCCTTAATGCCCATCACCCAGTTACCCCATCCTCCCACCCACTTCCCCTACAACAACTTTCAGTTTGTTTCCTATAGTTAAGAGTCTCTCATGGTTTTTTCCCTCTCCGATTACTTCCCATTCAGTTTTCCCTCTCTTCCCCTATGATCCTCTGTGCTGTTTCTTATATTCCACATATGAGTGAAACCCTATGATATTTGTCTTTCTCTGAGTTATTTCACTCAGCATAATACCCTCCAGTTACATCCACGTCCATGTAAATGGTAAGTATTCATCCTTTCTAATGGCTGGCTAATATTCCATTGTGTGTGTGTGTGTGTGTATATATATATATATATATATATATATATATATACCACATCTTCTTTATCCATTCATCTTTTGATGGACATCTCGACTCTTTCCACAGTTTGGCTATTGTGGACATTGCTGCTATGAATATTGGGGTGCAGGTGCCCCTTCAGATCACTACATTTGTATCTTTGGGATAAATACCTAGTAGTGCAATTGCTGGGTCATAAGGTAGCTCTATTTTTAACCTCTTTTTTTTTTTTAAGATTTTATTTATTTGACAGAGAGAGAGAGAGTGAGAGCACAAACTGGGAGACAGAGGGAGAGGGAGAAGCAGGCTCTCTGCTGAGAAGGGAGCCCATTGCGGGGCTTGAAGCCAGGACCCTGGGATCATGACCTGAGCTGAAGGCAGATGCTTAACCAACTGGGACACTGAGGCACCCCTATTTTTAACTTCTTGAGGAACCTCCATACCATTTTCCACAGTGGCTGCACCAGCTTGCATTCCCACCAACAGCGTAAGAGGGTTCCCCTGTCTCCACATCCTTGCCAACATCTGTTGTTTCCTGACTTGTTAATTTTAGCCATTCTGACCATGTGAGGTGGTATCTCATTGTGGTTTTGATTTGTATTTCCCTGATGTCAAGTGATGTGGAGCATTTTTTCATGAGTCTGTTGGCCATTTGTATGTCTTCTTTGGAGAAATGTCTGTTCATGTCTTCTGCCCATTTCTTGACTGGATTATTTGTTTTTTGGGTGTTGAGTTTGATAAGTTCTTATAGATCTTGGATACTAGTTCTTCATCTGATATGTCATTTGCAAACATCTTCTCACAAAGATGGTTTGTCCTGGTACTAGAGATGCTATTTGAAATTTTTTGTGCCTTCTTCCCAGTCAATCATCAGAACATCAAGATTACATGTGGCTACAAATAATTAATGTGATAAGGGATGAAAATTATGTCTTTTTTTAAATTGAAGTGTAATTATTTGTTCTTCCAGTCCATGAGCATGGAACGTTTTTCCATTTCTTTGTGTCTTCCTCAGTTTCTTTCATGAGTATTTTATAGTTTTCTGAGTACAGATCCTTTGCCTCTTAGGTTAGATTTATTCCTAGGTATCTTATGGTTTTGGGTGCAATTGTAAATGGGATCGACTCCTTAATTTCTCTTTCTTCTGTCTTCTTGTTGGTATATAGGAATGCCACTGATTTCTGTGCATTGATTTTATATCCTACC